GGGTTTTTAAACCATCAAACCAATCTATAAAAAATCTGGCAAGTAATGGTTTTTAAACACCTCAAAACCAGTCTAATTAAAAAACCCCCCAAACCAATGAAAAATAAACTCCCAAGCAGACCCTTAAGTATTAAGGTCATTTTTAAGAACTCATCTAGTTTGTCTTCTCTAGACTTGAACTATCCATCTTATATGAAAATATGCACCCTTTAAAAATGCAAGATTAGTGCAGATTGCAAAGCATAAAGTGATTCGAGTTTACCCCACAAGGCCAGAGGAGTCTCTAGGCCATCTACCTTCCACGGACATTGTCGCACGGTTCATGATGATTAGGTTGTATGCCTCTTCATCAATCTCTACCTTTTTCTTCAGCTATTTTAGCCACTTCTCGGCGTTCTTCTCCAGCCCAGAGCCACCTTATTGTGGGAAAGCAGTGCCTTCATCTTTCTTCCAACTACTGAGTCAATTTTCCCATCGTATTGGGTAATCTCTATTCTAGTAGTTGTAGACTCGTGTTTGTATACCGAAACTTCAAGATTCACTCTGATTTTAATCCTAAAGGTTCAATTCTGATTTCTGACTTAATAACCCCAACGAAACCCTAGACTTCCAAGAACAGATCAAATCAACGAATTTCACCTTCGATTTTACAATTTGGGAACCCTTGAGTGCTAAAGAAATGTCTAGACACAAAAGCCCCAAATTGTTCACAAACCCTAGGTTTCCCTAAACTTTCAATTGAACAAATTTGACACTCAGAAATCACGCAAGATCCTATCCCCAAGGCTCTGATACCACTGTTATGAAAATCTTCCTAATCTTTAACACACAATCAAGATAAAACAACCACAACAATACACACAAATTTACTATGGTTCAACTATCCAAGATTGGGTAAGCTACGTCCACGTTGAGCTCCGGAATCAAAAGAGCTCGTTGTACTAATCAATTAAAATCAAGAGTTTACACCACATATCAAAGATCAATCACTCAAGAATACAACTCAACCTTTCCTGTAATCCTACCTAGAGAACACAATCAGATTCCCTATTAACTTGAGAGTAAAACCCCTCTCACTTGAATGAAAAACCAAACACTCACTCACCAAGATTACACAGATTGAATGTGACAAGAGTAAAACCCTTCAGCAATTGTTCTAAAATTCACGAAGAAGAGAACCTGTTGCCATTTCCCAATTTGCTCCTTTATATAGTGTTGACCATATTGTTGATTTTTAGCCATTGGATCTGCAGTTGATCAACAGCCAAGATTCAATTTAGCAGCTCCCAAAATGACGTCACACCACTTATGGCCAAAACCGCATCATTTCATGTCTTCAACTCAACACATCTTAAATAAAAAAGTATATTTTGAACAAGGGTTATGATACAATCATATTTTAATTTATTTTTTTATTCAACTTATTCATCGAATAACAGTTAAGCTTTAGTGCTTTCTTTTCCTTATATTATTAAAACTCTAATAGGTAACTGATAACTACCAGAAAGCTGACATTTTGCAACAAATTTTTTAGCAACTAACCAGAATTAGTTGCAAAAAAGCTACATTTACCAACTAAATTGATATTAGTCGAACAAAGAGGATTAAAATTTTGGGGCCCACATATTCCAACATTTGGCATCTAAAGTTAATTTTTTGCGACTATTTTGTTAGTCACATAACCGATTGCTTTAATGACTAATAAATTTAGTTACAATTTTTTCCAGGTGATTTTTCCCTCCAAAATTTGATAATTTGCATCTAAAATATTATATTTTGCATCTACATTTTTTGATTAAAAAAACAATTTTTTGCAACTACCCCTTAGTTGCTAAATTAGTTGCGAATAATTAGGGATTTATTAGTAACTATTATGATTAGTTATAGAAAAATGAAATTACCAAAATATCCCATATTTGGACAGTAATTACAAGGGCCCCAAAGTATATACAGCAACTAAATTTGATTTAGTTGTCAATTTAAGTAAAAAAATTTATATTCCTCCCAAATTATTTGTTACCGCCATACCTAAATTATAGGCGACTAACACTAATTCTTTACTGACTAAAATTTTAGTTAGAAATTGACTTATTTGTAAAATGGAATTATATTTCAAAATTAAATAACTAATTAGAGCCCTTACTTTTTTAAGTTATTTACAAAATACCCTAACCTATATAATGCAAGCATTTTTGTCATATCATATCTCTTCTCCGCGCTTCTTTGCCCTAGCTTTTTCCCCAAATTTCCCAAACGCACAACCCAAATTTCATATGTTTTCTCCACGCGTCTTCATCTTAATCGCTGTTGCCCGAATTTCTGAAATGCGGAACCTGACTTCATCTCTTCTCCACGTATCTTCATCTTTCAATTCTCTTATTTTCCTCTTCAAATCCTGACTTCATCCCTCCCGTAAGTACAATCGCTGTTGTATCTGCTGGTTTTAGGGTTCGTTCTTTTTTACTCTTTTGGATCTCCATCTTCTCTTCTCTTCTCTTCCTCTTCAAATCCACATCGAAATCCAATCCGCAATCAAAATTAATTCTTGGGTTTTCATTCACCAGGTTCTTCTCTTTTTCTTGTTTTGCTTGTGTATGTTGATCTCTCTTTGTTTCTGTGAATTTTCGATTTTCTTGCCGTTCTAGTTGTTGCATCTTGTTTTTGTTAAGTGGGTCGTGTTTCGTTTCTGAGATGGTTTTTGATTTTTGAAGTTCTGAATTTTTTGGGGTTCTGGAGTGGAAGAAATTGAATATTTTGTTTGGGATGAAGAGATGTTGAAACGTCGAAGTTTTNGGATTATTACTGTGGTTTAGACATATTGTGGGAAGCATTACAGGACTGTTTTATTGGTTTTCAAGTGATGTTCTCTGTTGTACACTATCCCAACACCTAGGGTTATCATTCATGCATGGTGTCAATGTAATTTATAGAATGTCTGTGACATCCTGTCTCATTTCAATGTATATTTGTGTGTTTAAAATTGATATAATATTTTTCCTTTATTTTCACTTGATCATATTGTCTTTCATAGCTAGCTTAGCAGATGCTGCTGCTGGTGTTGGCTTAATGGGAAGTGATGGTCAAATTTATATGACCATATGGCTAGGCTCTCTCTTCACTGGTCTACAGTATTACTAGGACTGAATTACTGGATGGGGGCATGTGGTCATGGTTGTGTCAGAATTTCTGTTTTCTACTTGATACTTTTAACTGGAAAAATGTTCGACTGGAGGAGAATGGAAAAAAGGAATGTCACTTCTGTTATATAGATGTCTCTTTATAACTGTTTGATTGTGTGATGTATATAGAGGATCTCTAGATTTTTGAAATTCTATAAAGTAGACTTGTGGGTTAGTGTCCACAGCCAAAGAGCTTCTAAATGTGATTTCCAGATTTCTTTTGTTTCTTTATTATTTTTAAATTTCACGTATGCTTTAGCAATAGTGCTTCTTGAGGTAGTATTTGGGAAGGTGTGAGTTAAAGTATTGTTAATTTGAATGTTACATTTATGCTGATTGGGCAAAGGTGCTTGCTGCAAACAACTTCAGTTAGTTTGTAAAGCATTTGGATATGGGTGATAAATTCAGGAACTAAGCACTTTAAAGGACTCTAAAACTGGGTAGCAGGAATGATGGCTCTGATTGTTTCAATGGGAATATATTGCTGTATCTGTATGCTCTACTAATATATTTCTATTATTAAATTTGTTGTTTCTCCTCAAGGAAAAAGAAGGAAAAGAAAAAAAGAGAAATTTGTTGTTACTCTATGTTTTCCTCTTCTTTTGTACCTTTGTCCGTGTTCTCGATTTTAGCTTATTATCTGATGTCCAATTGCAGACAAGTGGTATCGCTGTGGACCTGTTCAAAGCTTTGCACATTTTTCTTTGTTGCTGGAATTTTTGTTGGTTACACACTCAAGCGACGTGTTAGGCGTTGGGCTTCAAAAATTTTGAAAAGGTTAAAAGATGATTGATGCCAGTCAGACAATTTCATCAGTGTTACCTTTAACATTTCTGACATGTACTTGAAGAATTTCCCAGCAGGTAGCTTGCTTCCTTGATACATATTATCGCATCTCATGCCAATTTAAGTCTTATCAATGACAGATACATCACTTTGATACAACTATCATTGGACATTTCATTAATTTGTTGATAGGATTGCTATTATATGCTTTATAATGAAGAACAAGGCCAAATTTTGTTTCTATATAAAAGTCTGTGCAATTAAAGCAGTTTAAGGGGAATGACATTTCTACTTTTACACATCTTACTGCATTTTATTGTATGATATCATTTTTAAGTGCAGAATCATTTAAAAAAATAAAAAGAGAAAAGAAAAGTTTAACCAATTGTCATTAATACATCTTAAAATAACCAACAGATTTACCACTTTTAGACCTCTTAAAAGGGTTCTTTTTTAATTTATTATCAACGTTTTAAGCGTAATGATTTTGATTTGTTGCATTGTATTAGTAAATGAAACAATTCAAAGCAGCACCTAGGACAAACTTTATGTGATCTCATGGTTTATTAAGTTTTATTCTTTGATTAGGAAAATGAAGTCAATCAACAAGGCTATAAGATTTCAGTTTGTTTGAAGGAAGGTGTAGATTAAAGAATGATAAAATGTGGAGTTTTAACATATGGTTATATGAAATTAATGACAAGAGTTCTTTAATGCACACTGTATGCGAGTGAATGACAATTCTCAAGCCTGATGAAGAGGACAAACTGTTGGCGAGCTGAAGTTGTTGAAGCATGACGACATTAATTTTTTTTTTTTTAATTGAATGATAAATCTTCAGAAGCCTATCAAATCAAACTAGACGACAAGTCGGGCCGGCCACCCTCTAGCTTGTTAAAAGAGACGACTATGTTCCACCATTGTTTTTTGTCCAGAAAAGTGAGAAGAAATGGTTTTACAGCTGCCAAAACCACGACAAGTGTCTGGCTAATGGTTTCGTCTGAAATAAAAGATAAACAACTTGCTGTCCTAGTCTCAATTAGCTCATGTTGTCTGACGTTAAACTCTTGAAAAAACAGAATATTGCAACAGCTGTTCTCTTCTATCAACTCACCTACACATGGAAGTCGTATAAATTATCTGGATATTATCGGTCAACCCAAACCAAACCAAAACCGGTAACTTGTTCTGTATTGTTTAATGAAAAAAATGATCTTGTGTGTTGAACAACATTACTATAGCAATTGTATATAAATATATATACACACCTGGCTGAGCTACATTCAGGAATACACAAATACATTTCTCATTTGATTCATTACACAAGTAAAAATTGGAGTTTTACATTTAAATGATGTCAGAAATACTCCTTGTGGAACTGGAAGCGCGTGGACGTCTTGCGACTCATCTCCTGTGATAGTTTCTTCAACTCCTTGGCCAACACTGGCATCCCACAGTAGAAAACTCCTGCAATTTAACAATTCCTTGTCCTGTTAAAACAATTTCTATATTTGACAATTCTTAGATGCTTCCTGCCTAGAATTTGTTAAACTGCCTTGAACATGTATTCATTGAACCTACAACTCTACTTCTCTCTCTCCTTTTTAACTCAAATCATCTTTACCTATTGTAGCACAGGGATGCTTTGATGCTATTTTAGTGAACACTTCTCTCCAATTGGGCCTCGCAAAGTGTGTCCTTACCTGCAAGTGAAGGTTACTGCTTAGAAACATAAAGAGTCCCTGAACCACAATATATAGTAGCTTGATGGGGAGGTTAGAAGAATATTTAAAAGTATGGCTACATAGGTTAGAGGATGTGGCAGATCATACTCTCGTTCCAGATAAGATGTCAATACCATGCTTGGCATGGGTGAGAGCTTGAACCATGGTGATCAAGGTTGACCTTGCATCCCCCTCTTCATAAACACTTGTAAGGTAGTTGTGCAGCTCAATCTGGCCCTGTTTCAAAGTAACCAGAAACAAGTTACAACATCATATTATAAAACATGATGCATATTTAATCAAAAGTTCTTATTTTTCCTTTTCATTACTTTGTGATCCATTTCTGAAATTTGATCCATGACTCCTTTAAACCATTCAAACGATCCGGGTTCCCTAGTAACCCAATAGAAATGAGCACTTCTAGTCTTTTGAGATTTCTTCTTTGTCAAACTTGAACCTGTAGACGTATTTGAAGACGCAATGCTGTTCCAGCTGTCGTCTGATCTGCTGGTATCCCCATTTAAATCCTACGCCATAAGAATGTTGATGAGCAATCACTAGAGTTAAGCTATTAATCAATTTTATCGAATTGTAATAGCTACAGAGTGAACAGTACCAATTGGTCCTCTCTGGTATTATTGAGAAGATCTCTAAGGATGCTTATAAAAGGAGTAGCTCCAATTCCTAGCCCTACAAGGAGCAAGACATCGTAATTTCTATAGTCCTGTGCCGGAGCACCATATGGGCCGTCGACAAACAATTTTGGTTGGCTGCATCAATGTATTATGTTACTTTAATATTTTCATACGTATTTGAAAAAGATAAGTTGATTTCTATATAGTTGGGTCGGGTGCCTACCCGTCGTGATCCACGTGCCCAAGTTGACCGAATTTGGCTCGACCAATAACACATGCTGAATCATTGCCGTCTGTGAAAACTCGCTTCAACTCTTGCGTCCAGTCTCCCACTATCCGGATGTGAACACTGAGGTACTCATCTCCGGGTGCTGAGGTTATAGAAAAAGGGTGCCTGGAGAGGATAAATAAGGACCATTTCAGTGCATAGAAACATGAAGCCTGAAACATTTAATGATATCGCTTGTCTTGACATTTTATATGATGGAGAGGTCAAAAGAAAAAGCTAAATATCTCCAACAATTCTATTCCACCAAGATTTTCTCAGTTTCCACAGAGCACCAAGCCAAACCTTTCTCAGACTCTCTTTGCCTCCTATTATCTCCTTTTGTAAGTTTATGGCATTCTCTAATATTTTTCTTCTTTTTTCACTGTACACTGATCAGTTCTAAAATGCTAGACTTATTAACATATTTTATTCTTGACAGAGGCGTGGAGTATCTAAGTTCATTGAGCCTATGTGCTTTGGAGGCTTCCTTTGCTCAATATGGACTAAAACCAGATCACTCATTTGAGGAAGACTATGCTTCTTGCCAATGGCTATCGGCCTCAGAATTTCTTCTCTGAGGCTGATAGGAAGATGTGTGTCAAAGAACATCAAATGGGTTTCTGGAGGGTGGCATTGAGTTTGATGACAACACTAAATTGGAGGCCGATGTTGTGATTTTTGCCACTGGTTACATGGGAAAAAGCTTAAAGCTATTTTACCAGAGCCTTTTTGTAGCTTGTTAGAATTCCTTCAGGCATTATACCCTTATACAGGTAACTCACTCTCGTTAAACATCTTCTTTCAAAAGTATTAATAATCTTATACTAATAAATCTCAAACTGGAAAGTAATTAATGAGCTCAATCTCCTTCTGGCAGGGGCACTATCCATCCATTGATACCAAACATGGCTTTTGGGGTTACGTTGAAAGCCTTTCAAACCTTCACACTGCTGGCTACGGAGCATATGGTTGGCTCGACTAATTGACAACAAATTCAAGCTCCCCAGTGTGGAGCAGATGCTTGAACAAATAGCAAGAGATGGAAGTCATGAGGCAGTCCACCAGGTTCTACAAGAGGCATTGTATCTACTTTCAGCATCAATCACGGTGACAATATGTCAAGAGATGGGATGGAACACTTGGAGGAAAAGGAATTGGTTATTAGAAGCATTTAGCCCTTATGGCAGTCAGGACTATGAGCTGAAAAATAGAGCTATAATAATAATAATAATATTTAGCTCACAAAATATTAAAGAAAAGGGAGATATACTTGAATTTTAATTTCTTTACTTTTTTTATTGGCAAATCAGATCCAGATATGTGTGAGCAAAATTCAACCTTTTCTGAATAAAGTCTATGTATCTCTGTTTGCTTACCTGTTCAGCTGAAATTTTTTCACTTTCTTTCAGAAAGTCATAAAATGAAGTAGCCATGTCCACACGTAAATCCTGTTCATCAGAAACAAACGTTTTAATTTCTCATAAGTCGAAGAAGTTTGATTTCCTTGCGAAATTGCGGTCGAACCCCTTTTTTTACAGCTAAGGTAATTACAGAGAATTTTAAATCACATGAATAAATACTTGCATAACTCCAAGAGAAAAATGTACAAGGGTAACAAGAAGAAAAACAAGACACTATTCCAAATTTAGAGTTTCAAAGGCTTTGAGAAGCTTCAAGGTCTCTCATTTGCTTTTCAGGTTGGAACTGGTTGTTGTAGATGAGCTGACGACCCCTTCTTGTCAAAGAACGTAAGTCTGTCTCCCAGGCAATGTTCCAAACAGATCTGCAGGCACTCCCCAGTCTTTTCGCACCTTGTTGCCCTCGTCACTCAGCAATGTAAAGGAAGTCTGTATTTCTTTGCAAATGCCTACATACATGCAAATACTGGTCAGCTTCAAGCATGATTGAAATTTTACAAATTATAACGAAGTGAAACAGAGTTTATCATAGATGAATCGAGAGAGGTCAAAGATTCATTCCTCTTGCTTTTGTTTCTTATTACATTTTTTGCAAATGGGAAAACAAAGAAAAGAATTTGTGAGAGATGTACATATGTGCAAGGATGTCCTGTAAAATTTCAGAATATTAGCTAGTTTATGTGACCTTCATATGACATTTAGATTTCTAAAATGTATTGCATGAGGCACTCTGACCATGTATAATGGCCAATTTTTGAACCTTCTGTCCAATATATCCAATGTGACTGATGACCTAAAAAAAACTCTATTTATTATCTGCAATCGTACTTAATGATGGAAGTTTGATCCAATCTTTGTAACAAAGCGTTTCTTATATATCTTATCAGTGGAAAATAATAGTATGAAGAAAAAAAGCTCCACTCAATCAAATAGCTAATGTTAACCCTAATTGCACTCCACCTATGAATATGTGAGACCTTGCCTAAATTCAAAAGTGTGGTAGAGTTAGAATAAATAGAGCTATTCAATAACGTAATTGGTTCACTTAATTAACTAAAGAGGAAAGAGTTACTTAAATTACTGGTCTGGTTTATAATTTGTATAGGAAATTACTTATTAACTACGATATTAAGATTTTAGGACGTTTCACCAAAGAAGTTCATTTGAGCCTACCATCAAAACTTGCTCAGTTGTAGGCTCAATGAATGCTTTATATAGAATCGCCAAAATGGGAAGAATATTTAACAAGTTGAAATTTTATAATGTAATGTGGGTTTTATCAGAGCCGAGAAAAAGAATGAAACTCCTTCAATCCTGAAGCTGTTCCATATAAAATTTACTTTCTCACCTTGTGTGATGATGGATCATCACCACTTATCCCACCTGAGCTCCTGCTTCTTAAATTTCTCTATGAATCCCTGAAAGCACATGCCTGCAAAAGGATCACTTTGTTTTGCTTCTATACTACATTGATGTCACTGGGTTGATGATTTAGTCCAATGCATGTCTTTACATAAACAATATTCAGAGTTCACAACAATCTAATTCTCTGTATATATAGAAATCAGATACTCTACTACTGCTATTACAAACGCTGAGCAAAACTATTCTAAATTAACAATGGCTGTAAAGAGTTATTGAGGTTTTCATTATACAAGACATATATTACCATTTACATGGTTATCAATAAAGAACAATACTGAATGATTGATAAGAGCCGATATAATGGTCCAAATATTATCAGAGCTTTAAGTAAAGAAATTATATAATGCTCATAATTACTTGATAAAATTAGAAACCCAAACAAGCAGAGTGGCAGAGAAAAGATTACTAAATTCAATTCATCATAACACCCTATCTACCATTGCCTATAAATCAAAAACCAAAAGCAGTATAAAAGATCAAATAAAATTAACAGGTAAACTAATTTTTTCTTTTTCTTTCAAAACCTGTTTGGTGCAGCCGGGGGTCTCATCAGCAGGTAAAATAGACACCACAGGCTTCCCCTTAAATTTGGAGAGGCTCACATTCTTTCCATCCTGATCTTTCAATGTGAATGCTGGTGGCGCCTGACCTTTGTTAACCATTACAAAAAGGCAACATTCACATTCAAAATACAAAACTAAGAAAGTAGACAAAATTTGTAAAGTGGTGGAGCAATGTACCTTAGCAAAAATGAAGTCTTGTGTAAGTGGAAGATAATGGGCAAGTGGAAGAAATAGAGAGATTGAGTCCATAAAATTGGAATGTGTGATTTTGAGAGAATGGAAGGAGGAGGAGATGGGTGCGAGGAGTTTGGATGGGGAGTGAAGATGGAGAGAGGTTTGAGATGGTAGGGAAGCCATCAGAGAGAAAGAGAAGTGGGTTGAAATTTTTTGATAACTGAATTAGTTTAGAAAGTACATTTGTTTGTTTAGTTTGAGGAAGATAGGAAGAGAGGCGACGGTGCTGCTTATTGGGAGGCTCAAGAGTTGGGGATAGATTGGTTTTTGCGTGGACAATGCTACCCCAGCATTGCACCTGCCTACTTCAAGCAATTCCAATTGTAATCAAAATCACTCTATAAAATTATTATTCTCTCTTTTTTTTTTGTTTCTTCTTAATTTTACTATAAAGATCTCTAATTATTTTTCTTCTTTTTTTCTAAGCCAAATTAGCCACAAACCTTTTTTTTTTTTTTATATCAATGTTTATAATTTAAAGTTTCAAACAAATAGAGCTGGTTAGTCTAAATTTACAGGTCTTGATTTTTTTATAATACATACAAAAATGAGATTTGTTTACAGTAAGGCTAGGCACGATGTTTAACGTATTCAAATTTAGAACTTGAAAAATAAAAGAGTAAACGTGGGCAAAGTTGGGCCCAAGCAGTCTCAGCCCGAGCTCTCAAGATCGGCCAAATTTGTTGACTCTCTGGGCTAGTCACTTTTGTGAGGGCTCATATCGTCGTAGCCTAAGTTGATAAATATTATTTAGCACCTATTTTTTATAGATAATTATGTAAGAGGGTTTTTTGTTTTATTAAGAGGTGATTGGTAAATTTTTTAATTAATTAGTAAATAAATATAAATGAATGGTTATAAATTTTATGTCATATATTATAAGAGGGTTTTGATTATTTATAAAGGGTATCTAAATTAACCAACCCAACTGCTGACCGGTCCAGGCCTGGGCCCTGGAGGTTCCGACACTCCTTTCTAAGGCCTGGGCCGGTCTAGGACGGTCCTACAGGACGTTTGGCCCGGGTTTTTGCCCAGCTCTCAAGAGACAGAAATGAAGTACAAAGAGGGGCTTTTTTGTCCTTCTACCGCCTTATTTGTGCTCAATAGTGAATAATACCCAAAGATAAATTTAACCCAGAACCCTAACCATATATTTCAATAGTTCTCTCCTCTAATGGTAATTTTTGTTAAATAAACTTTTGGTTTCAAATTAAAATCCCTATATGTTTGAAAAACAAATGGAAGGATTGCAGAAGTTTGTCCGTACAGTTTCAAAAGAGGCTAAATCAGTCTCTTCTTCGTTATCCGAGAGCCCGTACAATTCCAGTGGTAGTGACGTGGTGGAGAACTATCTGCAGCTTTATCTTCTTCTGATCAGTCTCGTTTTTGGTCTCCAGGGCTCCCAGTACTTACTTACTTTTTCTTGTTAAGATCGTGTTTGGAGTGAATTATGTTTCATTTCATTACATGCATAAGTTTTGTTTTTTAAGAACTTAAGTGGATGATTAAGATATTTGGTTAAAATGATGCGGAATTGTGTTTAATGAGTTGGGTTTTCGATATAGATATGATCTACTCAGTGGATGGGTTAGGTTTTGAGTTTAGCAATTTAAATTTATGTCTGCCGTGGAACTTGAAGAATTATTGGAATAGCCAGGCCTACAGTTCTTTCAAGGTCTTAGTTGCTCACCTACCTGCTTCTTGGAAATTGTAGGGTTCACAGAGTTCAGTTTTTGAATTGGTTCAATAAGCGGGTAGGGAAACTTTCAGAGCTCTAAAATAAAAAAAGATGGTGGTGTGGTGGTGCCATTATGTAATCCACATAAAATAATCTGTAGATGATTTGTAAATTGTATTGAGAACCCATAGAATCTTCCTTATGTTATCTTTCGTGTAAGTTAGTTGCTGAGCTTACTTTTAAGTGGCATTTTTATCCACTTTTCTTAGGATTTACTCGTTAATTTTTATTTTTTTTTTTTTTTTTGGATTATTACTGTGGTTTAGACATATTGTGGGAAGCATTACAGGACTGTTTTATTGGTTTTCAAGTGATGTTCTCTGTTGTACACTGTCCCACACCTAGGTTATCATTCATGCATGGTGTCAATGTAATTTATAGAATGTCTGTGACATCTTGTCTCATTTCAATGTATATTTTTGTTTTAAAATTGATATAATATTTTCCTTTATTTTCACTTGATCATATTGTCTTCATAGCTAGCTTAGCAATGCTGCTGCTGGTGTTGGCTTAATGGGAAGTGTGGCAAATTTATATGACCATATGGCTAGGCTCTCTCTTCACTGGTCTACAGTATTACTAGGACTGAATTACTGGATGGGGCATGTGGTCATGTTGTGTCAGATTCTGTTTTCTACTTTTAACTGGAAAAAGTTCGTGACGAGGAGATGAAAAAGAATGTCACTTCTGTTATATAGATGTCTCTGTATAACTGTTTGATTGTGTGATGTACATAGAGGATCTTAGATTTTTGAAATTCTATAAAGTAGACTTGTGGAGTTAGTGTCCACAGCCAAAGAGCTTCTAAATGTGATTTCCAGATTTCTTTTGTTTCTTTATTATTTTAAATTTCAGTATGCTTTAGCAATAGTGCTTCTTGAGTAGTATTTGGGAAGGTGTGAGTTAAAGTATTGTTAGTTTGATTGTACATTTATGCTGATTGGGCAAAGTTGCTTGCTGCAAACACTTCGTTAGTTTGTAAGCATTGGTATGGGTGATAAATTCAGGAACTAAGCCATTTAAATAAAGATCTAAAACTGGTAGCAGGATGATGGCTCTGTTGTTTCAATGGAATATATTGCTATCTATCTGTCTACTATATATATTTCTATTATTAAATTTGTTTTCTCTCAGGAAAAAAGAAGGAAAGAAAAAGTGAAAATTTGTACTCTATGTTTTCCTCTTCTTTTGTACCTTTGTCCGTGTTCTCGATTTTAGCTTATCATCTGATGTCCAATTGCAGACAAGTGGTACGCTGTGGACCTGTTCAAAGCTTTGCGCATTTTTCTTTGTTGCTGGAATTTTTGTTGGTTACACACTCAAGCGACGTGTTAGGCGTTGGGCTTCAAAATTTTGAAGAGGTTAAAAGATGATTGATGCCAGTCAGACAATTGCATCAGTGTTACCTTTAACATTTCTGACATGTACTTGAAGATTTCCCAGCAGGTAGCTTGCTTCTTGATACATATGATCGCATCTCATGCCAATTTAAGTCTTATCAATGACAGATACATCACTTTGATACAACTATCATGGACATTTCATTACTTTGTTGTAGGATGCTATTATATGCTTTATAGCGAAGAAAAGGCCAAATTTTGTTTCTATATAAAAGTTGTGCAATTAAAGCAGTTTAAGGGGAATGGCATTTCTACTTTTACACATCTTACTGCATTTTATGTATGATATCATTTTAAGTGCAGAATCATTTAAAAAATAAAAGAGAAAGAAAAGGTTAACCAATTGTCATTAATGGTGTGAGTGGTTTAGCAGCCGCTAAACATCTGCGTCACCATAATCCGATAGTATTTGAGGCCTCGGATTCTATTGGAGGAGTGTGGAAAGGCTGTTCTTACAAATCTACTAAGCTCCAGTCGGCTCGTTGTGATTACGAGTTCGCTGATTTTCCATGGCCTAACAGAGATGATCCTGGTTTTCCTTCTTATATTGAGATATTGGATTACCTGGAATCTTATGCAAAACACTTTGATTTTTTAAAGTGTGTGAGGTTCAATTCGAAAGTTGTGGGTGTCCGGTTCATTGCCGACACACAAACCACTGATTTTGGTGAAAAACCACGAGAATATGAGACCCCCTTGCCAGGTCATCCTGTTTGGGAAGTTGCAGTGCAAACTAACAATTCTGATTCCATTCAGGTCGTTATTAGCTTTCTAAATATATTTATAATACTCTTTTAAAGCCTTTCAACATGGTTTTGTTTTTTAAAGAAAATCTCTTTTCTCAAAATATTTTAATTTCGAGTATTATCCTCCAAAATTTGACGAGCATATAAATATATGTATGTGTAGCTCCATAGATGGGTGTGTATATGCATGCATGGATGTTATTACTTTGGTTTGTAAGAATAGAAGAGTAAGTAGCACTGACGAATGTGATGGTTTGATTTCAGTGGTATGGATTCGAGTTTGTGGTTGTATGTACGGGGAGGTACGGTGACATACCGAGAATTCCAGCTTTCCCTCGGAACAAAGGGCCTGAGACATTTGAGGGGGAGGTCTTGCATTGCCTTGATTACTGTAAGCTTGACAAGGAAGGTGCTACTCAGCTGCTCAAGGGCAAAAGGGTGGTTGTTGTTGGCTACAAGAAATCCGCTATTGATTTAGCTATGGAATGCGCTGAAGCAAATCAAGGTAATTTTATACATATATTTCATATACCATCTTGTTAATTGCATCAAAATTATTGACTTTAAAAGTCCATGTATGAGTGGTTGTATTACCACAATGATATACTGTTAACAGAAGACTTTTAAATGAAGTTTCATCACCTTTATTTGTTATCCCCTCCCCCAATGGTTTAAAAAAAAAAAAAAAAAGGCATACCTACTATACGTTAATTTCGAAAAGTAATTTTTCTGTTTGACAGATATTGACAATGAATATTGAGCTAAAAAGGCAATAATTGTGTTAACCATTAATTTCCATCCACTTTGATATCTTATTGAACAAATTAAAATGTTAAATGGCGATCATAATCATTCATTAATCGATTATTAAACTTTTTCACCTCTCTTTTCTCATGGTCTTGTTTCCGGCTTACAGCAATTCTACTTTCTAAACTCCAACAAGCGGTTTACTTGTATACTTTGTCTTTGTGTATGGGTATAACTTAACATTTTATTGATATCATTGAGTTTATCCATAGTTTTATATAGGTAACCATATACTGTTTAAGCCTCTCTACACTAAAATATAGGCTTTTGTGTTAGCTATTAGGCTGTATTCAATTTAGAACATAATATAATAATAAAGCATGATTTATATTTAATTCTTTTGGTACTTTGAAAAAGCTGTAGGGATCTCTCGATAAATAGTTGTTTGCAATCCATAGATTGTAAGCAAGGTTGGTAATTTATGGATGACAGTTAGTAACTTCTCCAATTAATTCTATTATCTATCTCTTCTTCCTCCTTGCATTTCAGCTTCATGTCTTCATCAAACACTCTGTTATTGTTATAATTATCCCTGAATAAAATACCTAATTCATGGAAGGGTAGAATTTTACCAACTCTAGTTTGTTTATTACTGGAACACGTGTGGCTTGTGGCAAAACGATATATATTACTGTGAAGCAAATCTTAGTCCAGCTATATATTTATAAATTATATAAAGTTCCACGTTGTAAGGTTGGAATTTGCATGAAAAGTCACACAAAAAGCAAGAAAAATTAACAAGGAATTGCGTGGTCAAGTGTCAAACTAGTAACAATGAAAATATCTGGTACTGTTTTGACTTTTTCAGTGCACATGTTCATGTTCATTTTCAACATTCTAAGTCACACGAATTAGAATTTCAAAATCTATGTTTTGACTTTTAGACATGAAACATGTTTGATTCAACTTTTCAAATTCTATCAGCTACCTTCCTTTTTTGGCTATTCTTAGGAAAATAATAGTATGAACTATCAATTAGTCAAACAAAACCATCGGGTCTTACAATATAATTTAAGTTTCCTTTTATTTCAATTAATTTCCTTTCATCATTAATACATTAAATTAAGTTTCCTTTAATCTTAATTTACGGGTCAAGTGAATTAATCATTTGTTTGAAGAGAGATGGGGAGATTCAGGTTAATAGTTAGACTCACTAATTTGCCTATAAAATTAATTATTTGGGGATTTTATGTCTGAATCTGTTTCAGGGGCAGAAGGAAAACCATGCACTATGTTGGTAAGGACCCCACACTGGCCAGTCCCCCATTACTGGGTTTGGGGTTTGCCCTTCTTCCTCTTCTATTCCACAAGATTTTCTCAGTTTTTGCACAGAGCACCAAGCCAAACCTTTCTCAGGACTCTCCTTGGCCTCCTATTATCTCCTGTTGTAAGTTTATGGCATTCTCTAATATTTTTCTTTTTTTTTTTTTTTTCACTGTACACTGATCAAGTTCTAAAATGCTAGACTTATTAACATATTATTATTCTTGACAGAGGCGTGGAGTATCTAAGTTCATTGAGTCCTATGTGCTTTGGAGGCTTCCTTTGCTCAAATATGGACTAAAACCAGATCACTCATTTGAGGAAGACTATGCTTCTTGCCAGATGGCTATCATGCCTCAGAATTTCTTCTCTGAGGCTGATAAGGGAAAGATTGTGTTCAAAAGAACATCAAAATGGTGGTTCTGGGAGGGTGGCATTGAGTTTGATGACAACACTAAATTGGAGGCCGATGTTGTGATTTTTGCCACTGGTTACGATGGGAAGAAAAAGCTTAAAGCTATTTTACCAGAGCCTTTTTGTAGCTTGTTAGAATATCCTTCAGGCATTATACCCTTATACAGGTAACTCACTCTCCGTTAAACATCTTCTTTCAAAAGTATTGCTAAATCTTATACTAATAAATCTCAAACTGGAAAGTAATTAATGTGAGCTCAATCTCCTTCTGGCAGGGGCACTATCCATCCATTGATACCAAACATGGCTTTTGGGGGTTACGTTGAAAGCCTTTCAAACCTTCACACTGCTGAGCTACGGAGCATATGGTTGGCTCGACTAATTGACAACAAATTCAAGCTCCCCAGTGTGGAGCAGATGCTTGAACAAATAGCAAAAGAGATGGAAGTCATGAGGCAGTCCACCAGGTTCTACAAGAGGCATTGTATCTCTACTTTCAGCATCAATCACGGTGACGAAATATGTCAAGAGATGGGATGGAACACTTGGAGGAAAAGGAATTGGTTATTAGAAGCATTTAGCCCTTATGGCAGTCAGGACTATGAGCTGGAAAAATAGAGCTATAATAATAATAATAATAATAATAATAAATAATTTAGCTCATCAAAATATTAAAAGAAAAGGGAGATATGCTTGAAGTTTTAATTTCTTTACTTTTTTATTAGCAAATACAGATCCAGATATGTGTAGCAAAATTCAACCCTTTTCTGAATAAAGTCTATGTATCTCTGTTTGCATTACCTGTTCAGCTGAAATTTTTTCACATTTACTTTCAGAAAGTCATAAAATGAAGTAGCCATGTGCAGCACACGTAAATCCTGTTCATCAGAAACAAAACGTTTTAATTTCTCATAAATGTCGAAGAAGTTTGATTTCCTTGCGAAATTGCGGTCGAACCCCTTTTTTTACAGCTAAGGTAATTACAGAGAATTTTAAATCATACATGAATAAATACTTGCATAACTCCAAGAGAAAAATATACAAGGGTAACAAGAAGAAAAACAAGACACTATTCCAAATTTAGAGTTTCAAAGGCTTTGAAGAAGCTTCAAGGTCTCATCAATGTGCTTTTCAGGTTGGAACTGGTTGTTGTAGATGAGCTGAACGACCCCATTCTTGTCAAGAACGTAAGTCTGTCTCCCAGGCAATGTTCCAAACAGATCTGCAGGCACTCCCCAGTCTTTTCGCACCTTGTTGCCCTCGTCACTCAGCAATGTAAAAGGAAGTCTGTATTTCTTTGCAAATGCCTACATACATGCAAATACTGGTCAGCTTCAAGCATGATTGAAAATTTTACAAATTATAAACGAAAGTGAAACAGAGTTGATCATAGATGAATACGAGATAGGTCCAAGATTCATTCCTCTTGCTTTGTTTTCTTATTACATTTTTTTGGCAAATGGGAAAACAAAAGAAAAGAATTTGTGAGAGATGTACATATGTGGCAAGGATGTCCTGTAAAATTTCAGAATATAGCTAGCTAGTTATGTGGACCTTCAATATGACATTTTTAGATTTCTAAAATGTTATTGCATGAGGCACTCTGACCATGTATAGATGGCCAATTTTTGAACCTTCTGTCCAATATATCCAATGTGACTGATGACCTATAAAAAAAACTCTATTTATTATCTGCAATCGTACTTAATGATGGAAGTTTGATCCAAAATCTTTGTAACAAAGGATTTCTTATATATCTTATCAGTGGAAAATAATAGTATGAAGAAAAAAAGGCTCCACTTAATCAAATGTAGCTAATGTTAACCCTAATTGCACTCCACCCATGAATATGTGAGACGACTTGCCTAAATTCAAAAGTGTGGTAAGAGTTAGAATAAATAGAGCTATTCAATAACGTAATTGGTTCACTTAATTAACTAAAGAGGAAAGAGTTACATTAAATTACTGGGTCTGGTTTACTAATTTGTATAGGAAATTAACTTATTAAACTACAGGGATATTAAGGATTTTAGGACGTTTCACCAAAGAAGTTCATTTGAGCCTACCATCAAAACTTAGCTCAGTTGGTAGGCTCAATGAATGGCTTTATATAGAAATCAGCCAAAATGGGAAGAATATTTAAACAAGTTGAAATTTTATAATGTAATGTGGGTTTTATCAGAGCCGAGAAAAAGAATGAAACTCCTTCAATCCTGAAGCTGTTCCATATAAAATTTACTTTCTCACCTTGTGTGATGATGGATCATCACCACTTATCCCAACAACCTGAGCTCCGGCTTTCTTAAATTTCTCATATGAATCCCTGAAAGCACATGCCTGCAAAAGGATCACTTTGTTTTAGCTTCTATACTACATTGAGATGTCACTTGGGGTTGATGATTTAGTCCAATGCATGTCTTTACATAAACAATATTCAGAGTTCACAACAATCTAATTGCTCTGTATATATAGAAATCAGATACTCTACTACTGCTATTACAAACGCTGAGCAAAACTATTCTAAAAAGTAACAATGGCTGTAAAGAGTTATTGCAGGTTTTCATTTATACAAAGACATATATTACCATTTACATGGTTATCAAGATAAAGAAAACAATACTGAATGATTGATAAGAGCACGATATAATAGGTCCAAAATATTTATCAGAGCGATTAAGTAAAGAAATTATATAAATGCTCGTAATTACTTGATGGAAATTAGAAACCCAGAACAAGCAGAGTGGCAAAGAAAAGATTACATATATTCAATTCATGTCATAACACCCTATCTACATTGCCTATAAATCAAAAACCAAAAGCAGTATAAAAAGATGCAAAGAAATTAACAGGTAAACTAATTTTTTCTTTTTCTTTCAAAACCTGTTTGGTGCAGCCGGGGGTCTCATCAGCAGGGTAAAAATAGACAACCACAGGCTTCCCCTTAAATTTGGAGAGGCTCACATTCTTTCCATCCTGATCTTTCAATGTGAATGCTGGTGGCGCCTGACCTTTGTTAACCTATTACAAAAAGGCAACATTCACATTCAAAATACAAAACTAAGAAAGTAGACAAAATTTGTACAAGTGGTGGAGCAATGTACCTTAGCAAAAATGGAAGTCTTGTGTGAAGTGGAAGATGGGATGGGCACAGTGGAAGAATAAGAGAGATTGAGTCCATAAAATTGAGAATGTGATGATTTTGAGAGAATGGAAAGGGAGGATGGAGATGGGGTGCGAGGAGTTTGGATGGGGAGTGAAGATGGGAGAGAGAGGTTTGAGATGGTGAGGGAAGCCATCAGAGAGAAAGAGAAGTGGGTTGAAATTTGTTTGATGAAACTGAATTAGTTTAGAAAGTACATTTGTTTGTTTAGTTTGAGGAAGATAAGGAAGAGAGGCGACGGTGCTGCTTATTGGGAGGCTCAAGAGGTTGGGGATAGATTGGTTTTTGCGTGGACAATTGCTGACCCCAGCATATGCACCTGCCTACTTCAAGCAAATTCCAATTGTAATCAAAATCACTCCTATAAAATTATTATTCTCTCTTTTTTTTTTGTTTCTTCTTAATTTTACATATAGAAGATCTCTAATTATTTTTCTTTCTTTTTTTCTTTTAAGCCAAATTAGCCACATAAACCATTTTTTTTTTTTTAATTATCAATGTTTATAATTTAAAGTTTCAAACAAAATAGAGCTGAGTTAAGTCTAAATTTACAGGTCTTCGATTTTTTTATAATACATACAAATAATGAGATTTGTTTACAGCTAAGGCTAGGCACGATGTTTAACGTATTCAAATTTAAGAACTCTGAAAAATAAAAGAGTAAACGTGGGCAAAGTTGGGCCCAAGCAGTCTCAGCCCGAGCTCTCAAGATCGCGCCCAAATTGGTTGGGACCGGTCCTAGGCTAGTCACTTTTGTGAGGGCTCAAATCAATCCCATGCCTAAGTATGATAAATATATATTTAGCACCCTAGTTTTTTATAGATAATTATGTAAGAGGGTTTTTGTTATTTATTAGAAGGTGATTTGTAAATTTTTTAATTAATTAGTAAATAAATATAAATGAATGGTTATAATTTTTTAGTTCATATATTATAACAGGGTTTTGATTATTTGATAAAGGGCATTCTAAATTAACTAAACCCAAGCCTGGACCGGTCCTAGGCCTGGGCCCTGGACAGGTCCTAGGACCGGCCTGGGTCGGTCACCCCTTTCTAAGGCCTGGGCCGGTCTTAGGACCGGTCCTACCGGGACTGGTTGGCCCGGGCTTTTTGCCCAGCTCTCAAAAGAGAGACGAGGGCAAAATGAAGGTACGAAGAGGGGCTTTTTTGTCCTTCTACCGCCTTATTTGTGCTCTGAATAGTGAATAATACCCAAAGATAAAATTTAAACCCAGAACCCTAACCATATTTCAATAGTTTTCTCCCCTAATGGTAGATTTTTGTTAAATAAACTTTTGTGGTTTCAAATTAAAATCCCTATATGTTTGAAAAACAAATGGAAGGATTGCAGAAGTTTGTCCGTACAGTTTCAAAAGAGGCTAAATCAGTCTCTTCTTCGTTATCCGAGAGCCCGTACAATTCCAGTGGTAGTGAGCGTGGTGGAGAACTATCTGCAGCTTTATCTTCTTCTGATCAGTCTCGTCTTTTGGTCTCCAGGGCTCCCAGGTACTTACTTACTTTTTCTTGTTAAGATCGTGTTTGGGAGTGAATTATTGTTTCAGTTTCATTACATGCATAAAGTTTTGTTTTTTAAGAACTTAAGTGGATGATTAAGATATTTGGTTAAAAATGATGCGGAGATTGTGGGTTAAATGAGTTGGGTTTTCGATATAGATATGATCTACTCAGTGGATGGGTTAGGTTTTTGAGTTTAGCAAATTTAAATTTATGTCTGCCGTGGAACTTGAAGAATTAGTTGAATAGCCAGGCCTACAGTTCTTTCAAGGTCTTAGGTGCTCACCTACCTGCTTCTTGGAAATTGTAGGGTTCAACAGAGTTCTAGTTTTTGAATTTGAGTTCAATAAGCGGGTAGGGAAACTTTCAGAGCTCTAAAATAAAAAAAAAATGGTGGTGGTGGTGGTGCCATTAATGTAATCCACATAAAATAATCTGTAGATGAATTGGTAAATTGTATTGAGAAGCACCATAGAATCTTCCTTATGTTTATCTTTCGTGTAAGTTAGTTGCTGAGCTTACTTTTAAGTGGCATTTTTATCCACTTTTCTTAGGATTTACTCGTTAATTTTTATTTATTTATTTATTTTTTTTGGATTATTACTGTGGTTTAGACATATTGTGGGAAGCATTACAGGACTGTTTTATTGGTTTTCAAGTGATGTTCTCTGTTGTACACTGTCCCAACACCTAGGGTTATCATTCATGCATGGTGTCAATGTAATTTATAGAATGTCTGTGACATCTTGTCTCATTTCAATGTATATTTATGTGTTTAAAATTGATATAATATTTTTCCTTTATTTTCACTTGATCATATTGTCTTTCATAGCTAGCTTAGCAGATGCTGCTGCTGGTGTTGGCTTAATGGGAAGTGATGGTCAAATTTATATGACCATATGGCTAGGCTCTCTCTTCACTGGTCTACAGTATTACTAGGACTGAATTACTGGATGAGGGCATGTGGTCATAGTTGTGTCAGAATTTCTGTTTTCTACTTTTAACTGGAAAAACGTTCTTGACTGGAGGAGATTGGAAAAATGAATGTCACTTCTGTTATATAGATGTCTCTGTATAACTGTTTGATTGTGTGATGTACATAGAGGATCTTTAGATTTTTGAAATTCTATAAAGTAGACTTGTGAGTTAGTGTCCACAGCCAAAGAGCTTCTAAATGTGATTTCCAGATTTCTTTTGTTTCTTTATTATTTTTAAATTTCATGTATGCTTTAGCAATAGTGCTTCTTGAGGTAGTATTTGGGAAGGTGTGAGTTAAAGTATTGTTAGTTTGAATGTTACATTTATGCTGATTGGGCAAAGTTGCTTGCTGCAAACAACTTCAGTTAGTTTGTCAAGCATTTGGATATGGGTGATAAATTCAGGAACTAAGCACTTTAAAGGACTCTAAAACTGGGTAGCAGGAATGATGGCTCTGATTGTTTCAATGGGAATATATTGCTGTATCTGTATGCTCTACTAATATATTTCTATTATTAAATTTGTTGTTTCTCCTCAAGGAAAAAGAAGGAAAAGAAAAAAAGAGAAATTTGTTGTTACTCTATGTTTTCCTCTTCTTTTGTACCTTTGTCCGTGTTCTCGATTTTAGCTTATTATCTGATGTCCAATTGCAGACAAGTGGTATCGCTGTGGACCTGTTCAAAGCTTTGCGCATTTTTCTTTGTTGCTGGAATTTTTGTTGGTTACACACTCAAGCGACGTGTTAGGCGTTGGGCTTCAAAAATTTTGAAAAGGTTAAAAGATGATTGATGCCAGTCAGACAATTTCATCAGTGTTACCTTTAACATTTCTGACATGTACTTGAAGAATTTCCCAGCAGGTAGCTTGCTTCCTTGATACATATTATCGCATCTCATGCCAATTTAAGTCTTATCAATGACAGATACATCACTTTGATACAACTATCATTGGACATTTCATTAATTTGTTGATAGGATTGCTATTATATGCTTTATAATGAAGAACAAGGCCAAATTTTGTTTCTATATAAAAGTCTGTGCAATTAAAGCAGTTTAAGGGGAATGACATTTCTACTTTTACACATCTTACTGCATTTTATTGTATGATATCATTTTTAAGTGCAGAATCATTTAAAAAAATAAAAAGAGAAAAGAAAAGTTTAACCAATTGTCATTAATACATCTTAAAATAACCAACAGATTTACCACTTTTAGACCTCTTAAAAGGGTTCTTTTTTAATTTATTATCAACGTTTTAAGCGTAATGATTTTGATTTGTTGCATTGTATTAGTAAATGAAACAATTCAAAGCAGCACCTAGGACAAACTTTATGTGATCTCATGGTTTATTAAGTTTTATTCTTTGATTAGGAAAATGAAGTCAATCAACAAGGCTATAAGATTTCAGTTTGTTTGAAGGAAGGTGTAGATTAAAGAATGATAAAATGTGGAGTTTTAACATATGGTTATATGAAATTAATGACAAGAGTTCTTTAATGCACACTGTATGCGAGTGAATGACAATTCTCAAGCCTGATGAAGAGGACAAACTGTTGGCGAGCTGAAGTTGTTGAAGCATGACGACATTAATTTTTTTTTTTTTAATTGAATGATAAATCTTCAGAAGCCTATCAAATCAAACTAGACGACAAGTCGGGCCGGCCACCCTCTAGCTTGTTAAAAGAGACGACTATGTTCCACCATTGTTTTTTGTCCAGAAAAGTGAGAAGAAATGGTTTTACAGCTGCCAAAACCACGACAAGTGTCTGGCTAATGGTTTCGTCTGAAATAAAAGATAAACAACTTGCTGTCCTAGTCTCAATTAGCTCATGTTGTCTGACGTTAAACTCTTGAAAAAACAGAATATTGCAACAGCTGTTCTCTTCTATCAACTCACCTACACATGGAAGTCGTATAAATTATCTGGATATTATCGGTCAACCCAAACCAAACCAAAACCGGTAACTTGTTCTGTATTGTTTAATGAAAAAAATGATCTTGTGTGTTGAACAACATTACTATAGCAATTGTATATAAATATATATACACACCTGGCTGAGCTACATTCAGGAATACACAAATACATTTCTCATTTGATTCATTACACAAGTAAAAATTGGAGTTTTACATTTAAATGATGTCAGAAATACTCCTTGTGGAACTGGAAGCGCGTGGACGTCTTGCGACTCATCTCCTGTGATAGTTTCTTCAACTCCTTGGCCAACACTGGCATCCCACAGTAGAAAACTCCTGCAATTTAACAATTCCTTGTCCTGTTAAAACAATTTCTATATTTGACAATTCTTAGATGCTTCCTGCCTAGAATTTGTTAAACTGCCTTGAACATGTATTCATTGAACCTACAACTCTACTTCTCTCTCTCCTTTTTAACTCAAATCATCTTTACCTATTGTAGCACAGGGATGCTTTGATGCTATTTTAGTGAACACTTCTCTCCAATTGGGCCTCGCAAAGTGTGTCCTTACCTGCAAGTGAAGGTTACTGCTTAGAAACATAAAGAGTCCCTGAACCACAATATATAGTAGCTTGATGGGGAGGTTAGAAGAATATTTAAAAGTATGGCTACATAGGTTAGAGGATGTGGCAGATCATACTCTCGTTCCAGATAAGATGTCAATACCATGCTTGGCATGGGTGAGAGCTTGAACCATGGTGATCAAGGTTGACCTTGCATCCCCCTCTTCATAAACACTTGTAAGGTAGTTGTGCAGCTCAATCTGGCCCTGTTTCAAAGTAACCAGAAACAAGTTACAACATCATATTATAAAACATGATGCATATTTAATCAAAAGTTCTTATTTTTCCTTTTCATTACTTTGTGATCCATTTCTGAAATTTGATCCATGACTCCTTTAAACCATTCAAACGATCCGGGTTCCCTAGTAACCCAATAGAAATGAGCACTTCTAGTCTTTTGAGATTTCTTCTTTGTCAAACTTGAACCTGTAGACGTATTTGAAGACGCAATGCTGTTCCAGCTGTCGTCTGATCTGCTGGTATCCCCATTTAAATCCTACGCCATAAGAATGTTGATGAGCAATCACTAGAGTTAAGCTATTAATCAATTTTATCGAATTGTAATAGCTACAGAGTGAACAGTACCAATTGGTCCTCTCTGGTATTATTGAGAAGATCTCTAAGGATGCTTATAAAAGGAGTAGCTCCAATTCCTAGCCCTACAAGGAGCAAGACATCGTAATTTCTGTAGTCCTGTGCCGGAGCACCATATGGGCCATCGACAAACAATTTTGGTTGGCTGCATCAATGTATTATGTTACTTTAATATTTTCATACGTATTTGAAAAAGATAAGTTGATTTCTATATAGTTGGGTCGGGTGCCTACCCGTCGTGATCCACGTGCCCAAGTTGACCGAATTTGGCTCGACCAATAACACATGCTGAATCATTGCCGTCTGTGAAAACTCGCTTCAACTCTTGCGTCCAGTCTCCCACTATCCGGATGTGAACACTGAGGTACTCATCTCCTGGTGCTGAGGTTATAGAAAAAGGGTGCCTGGAGAGGATAAATAAGGACCATTTCAGTGCATAGAAACATGAAGCCTGAAACATTTAATGATATCGCTTGTCTTGGTATTTTATATGATGGAGAGGTCAAAAGAAAAAGCTAAATATCTCCAACAATTTCTCTGACCATTCAAATGAGGAGATAGCTGGGCACTGGAGAAATATGTACTGCCCACTTTTGTACTTAAATCCATTTGGCTTGGACATGACTATGCTGAAGACATCTCCTGGTAAAAATGAAACCTGCATAAGAAATTAAGTTGTGAAGAAAGGCCTTACTTTTTTTCACACAAGTCAATCACACGCATAAGAAATTAAGTAAATGATTTGCCTTACCATCAACATGCACAAGAGTTTAAGAAATAAATCAAATTACCTCGGGTATTTTTACTGAATAATATCTTGATCTACGTGTCCGCAGATGCCGCTCTGCTATATAGAGCAACAAAGGAACAGAGATGTACATCCATGTCTGGAAAATTGACAAACAAAAGAATCCAGTATCAGCTTTCCTCCGTCATATTCACAACTGTATTTTTGCTTTTAAGGTTCTTACCGTTTTTTGATACCACTTGTGGGACAAGAATAAGAGAGTTCCGTGGACGTATAGCAAAATGTAGATCAAGCAAGTAAGGTGATGAGAATACCAAAATGCATTAAAGCCTGTTAATCTGTTGAAAGGTGGGGGTAGCCTCACCCCATTTTTCCTGAATTTATGTGTTGCAAGCGTGAACACAATGGCCAATAAAATGACCATACAAATCCCAGTCGCACCTTCAACACCAGTCACAAGGTCTGTGTATGTGGGCTTTTCGTTGTGGAAGTCATGAGATATGAGGGCAAATTTTTCTGGAGATGAGTTCACAATTCGGGGAAAGTCACATGCTAAATGAGGGCCGACATGGATTAGGACTCCAATGACTATGGCACCTGCTATCGTCTGTCAAAGTCGATATATAAGAAAAACGTCAGGTCTAATATGCAAAATGAGTAAGAGACGTGAAGTTTGTATTCATGGCAATATAGCCCACCTTGTGAAAATTAATGTTGTCATCAAAGGGAACAGATGACCTGGCTATAGTGGAACGAAGCCAAGTGAGGGTGTTTCGACAAACTGGTAATAGTATTAGAGCCATGTTGAGTTTGAGAGTCTCTGCAGCACCTTTGGCCGTGGCCAAACAATAGCCCATGACATGAAATGCTGCCCTGTTTTTGTATTGGATGAATTTCCAAGCGAAGAGTGAAGCCATTACTATAACCCACAACAACAAAATCCAACCTCTTTGCCAGTTCTCTATAAATAGAGACTGGCATTTACTGCTCGCTCTGCGGATCACGCTTTTGGGTCTAAACGAAGTTAAGTTCTGACTCCAGTTAACACTTGCTGAACTGAGAGGCCTGCTGTAGTTCATGTAGGTGTCTCTTTGTAGGAGTAGCGTCTCCAGCTGCCACAACTGATAAGGCCAAAACCAAAATAAATTTTAATAAATGGTCTCAGGTTTTCAGCTCAGAAGTGCGGTTTTGATGATGTTGTGATTTATGTGCTGATCCCTTAATAAATTTCTTTCATTAACTATCAATTACAAATGATATAATCACATAATTCGTATACATCATTAAAATAATGATGTATCAAATCGAGATGTAATATTTGGACGGTTAATGAGGAGGGAATCTTTATCAGTTAAAAAAATTCCAATCCTATCTATTGTACAATGCTTTAACATGTGCGACAGATCAACCAATAAAACTCACAAAACCATATAATAAAAAAATGATAAGATAATCCACTAATAAACAAGTGTTGGTTGGAGTCAAGGTTGAAGTAATGATTTTAAAAATTTACGTACTACATTTACATGTTTTTGTAAAAATATAAAATACATATGATGAAAAGGATTACCTCAATATAACCAAGATTTTCAGGATCTAATTCTTCCATGATCAATGAAGCGTATTCTTCTGCTTGTTCTTTTAGCTTAGACAATTTGTTGGTTGATGCACTGAGCATAATTAGCTGTAATTAAGATAACAATTTGCTAACATCACACTAATCAGAATAATAGTTGAGTATCTTTATCATTAAAATATAATTACTTACCTCCCGAACTTCGTCTCTTGTGATTCTTCCATCGTCATTGCTATCGGCCCTGAAAAATCGAAACATCAGAACACGGTGATCCTATCCAATCAAAAGGTGATGAAGAAAGTCACATTCACATACATGTCAAAGAAAATCTGAAGACGAGCGTCAAAGCTCTGGTCCGAAATCTGCAACCAGAATTCGTGAAGCTCCTCTTTCGTTATTTTGTGCACCCTTAGACCTCGCCGTCTCGTCAACGCGTCAAATATTCCCACTGCAAACTCCTTTGAGTCCACCATTCCTATCAAACTCATAATATCAACATTAATTATTTAAAAAAAAAAAAAAAGAACGTAAATTTGTAAATAATAACGTTTCGTTTTAACAGTAACTACTCATAAACTAACCAATACATTCACCGAAATCTTCTCTCGCAAGCAAGCCCTCCTTAGCCAGCGACTCGAACCTCGAAGCAACTTTTTTCCAGAGCTCCTCCGCGTCAGACACACCTGTTGTTTTGCTTATAAATCGCAGTCCTTTAAGTCCTCTCTGTGCACTCGATCTCGTTCGTTCAAGTTTTGCCTTGATTCTCCGCGCATCACGCGCCGATATCTTACGGTCCACGATATCGGATGATGATGTGCGTAACGATCCTGATGTTAACCAACTGAATTTTCGCCGAAGTCGGGAGGATGCCGAAAGGCTCCTGCCGAGAATTCCGGATGGCACGTCAGAGCTGTCTCCGGTATGATTTGACTGCGGTGCAGTCGGAGTTACACTGCACAAAACAATGGCGTCCTCCTCCAGCTCTAACGTTACTTCAACTAAATCCTCTTGTTGTTGGTTATTCCTTCTCAAATCGTTGAGAAAAATAGGCAACATTGCTCCGCCAACGCCATAGTCGCTGTCCTGTCGAGAGTACAGTTCTTCGTAGTCATCCGGTAATTCAAACGTACGGCTATAATGCGAGTGTGGACTGCTTCTTCCAAACGACGATACAGATCGCATTTTCAGGTACCCTTTTTTATTTCGGTTCTCTCTTGGTGCATAAACATGAAAATGGAACTCCAGCTAGGAGATAAAGAAAAAAAAAAAACAAAACAAGACAAACACCTCTCAACCGATCTCTACACACTATTTGAACGCTTGTGCGCAGTCGTGCTTAGAGTAGTTGAGATTTTGCTTATTTAATAAAGTGTATGAAATAATATTTCAGTGAATATAAACTATAAGTCTCTGTAGGTCGCACTGTAAATACTATATATATATATGCGCTATGCTGGCTGTGTTTGTTGCTAGGAACTACGGCAATGATTAAATGCCGTGAGTAATTTGCTTAGTTGCTGGGAATAATTTAGGGAGAAATTAAAGAATGAATGGATCATATAAGAATTTATATATGGGGGATGTTGGGAAGGTGGGTGATGCGACCTGCTACTGCTAATAAAGAATAGACATGTTATAGCGTGGGCGATTCCTCAGCCAATGCATTCTTTACATTTCTTGGAATTCACAGTCCTTGTAACCCGCAGAATATTCTTGTTTTCGCTTTTGGTTGCTGAATTACTGACTTGTATGTATGGTAAGAACAGGGTTAAATTAAGTTTATATATAGGAAATTACATCTAATACATTATGTCATTTATATGGCATTAGTTACAACCGGATTTATTTTACTACTTTATAGAACTCTTATGGTCAAAATTCTCGCCTTTAATTTTTAATTTTAGTTGATCTGCCTACATCTAGTGATGTATGTATGAAAAAACAAGATGTAGAATTCGCTATGTAGGAGCATCAATGCCAACAAGCAAAGACTAGAATATTTGATGAAATATTAAAGCATGAAAGGTTATTGGTGGGTAATTCACGTGAATTTTCTATGGGTTAGTGGTAACAGTTCATTTGCATTGAAAAATCATGCCAATATTGCCTACCTAAATGGAACACGAATCACATATATCCAGCAACAACTGCAACCTTCTTCTCTGACCAATAGCTTATATTACTGAATGTTCCATTTTTTTTTGCATAATATGGAATTACAACATTTGATATCATCAATCTGCTTATTTTTTTGGAAAAAAACTGCACAGCTGTTTATGTGACAGGAACACCATTAAACAATATTATTCGTGTAGGCTGTTGTTATGTTCGTGTCTACCACTTCTGTTTTGTCTTCCTTAGGACTTAGTTGAAACTGCAGTTTGGCAAGAAACATGTCTCATATATTTATAAGAATTACTACCGACATATGCAGATCAACTGTATATATATATGCTTCTTGAAATCACTAAAATCATGTTTGTTGTACATTAACCTTCCAAAACTCTGTATATAAGATGGGATTACTTCGCATACAATAAATGTACTTTTTTAAAGCTCTTAGCACTTACGAAATATTTTTTGGTTATTTGATTGCATTTAAAAAATGCTTATAGGGTTTTAAATAAGTTATTCTATAATTTATGGAAAAACTCAAATTTTGAACTTATTTAAAATGCTGAAATTTCAAATTCCTTATTTTGTTTTATAAATTTGACTCGATCTATTCTTATAAAGTAAAGTTTTTTAGTAAATTAATACTGGAATGCTTTTTCTACATTTTCTTAACAAATTAACTTTTTTTTTTTTTTTTTTTTTTTTTTTTTTTTTTTTTTTTTGGGAGTACACAGATCATTAAAATTCAAAATTTTTCCATTTTTACTTCATAATTCTTATAATTTTAACATAAAATTAGTGTCTTGATGCTTAGTAAAACAAAAACAGTATGTAACGAAAACTAAAAAGGGTTACTAAAAATTGAATGGATAAATCTTTATAATTAAATTAATCTGCATACTTAAAACCAATTAGGTCATGTAAAGGATATTCCATGTTTGCTACATATAGATATTGCTTTATTTTGACGAGACACTCCCAAGTAGAAAAATAAAATCAAGATTTTAAAAGTAGATGAAACGGAACATGATGTTTGAGCCTTTTTTATTTTTCTTTTAAGAGAAGTCGGGGTAATGCAAAAATTTTGTTGAGAACCATTTTATTTTGCCCCTTAAGAAAATGTAAACCTGTTTATATTCACTCTCATTCCCGTGTATTGAAATACATATTACTTACAGCCGTTAAAAACTCGATTATTTCTTAACTAACATGATCCAAAATTTAGAGTTTTTTAATTTCAGGTTTCAATCATATGATAATTGTAATAGCATGAAAATGAAGTCCTTGTAGACCACAAGGACCTAATCATGATTACCTAGCTTAAATAAATATAAAGGTTCTTTGACTTGAATATAAGAAACGTCTATCCCACAGTAATAATTAACATATTTCTTGCCAATTTATAAAGTGGAAATTAGTTTTGTTATTCTTATACAAGGGTCATATTCTCTGGTTTAGACCTTAGAGGTGGATAGCGTGGAAGCAAATGGCTTCACTCAGCTAGGATATAATATTTATTAGTTACCTTATTATGCAGATCCAATGGGGATGAGTTGACTTGTGCTGGCTGGCTTTCTCACATTGGACTCCATGAACAAAATTACAGTACAAGAAACGCTGAGAAGGGGTATTTCATGATAGTTATAGCATCTGTACTTTGGCCTTTCTAGAAGGCCCCCTCACCATGCATTTGTACTAAATTAACATTTTGTAGTAAATCTTCGTACTGCATAAACATGAATGACCGATTTGCAGTACATTTCCCTCTAGTACAGCAATTCAATTCAGTTTAATCCGTGTTAGATTAACCACCACCACATATTTCCAAATTTCCAGAACAATTGGACTAGGTAGATATAGAAAATGATGAGAATGGTTATAGGCTAGTCATAAACCATACTTAAAAGTTTTCACCTTTTTAATTTCCTCCATTATTGTTGCTATATACGATAACATATGGATCAGGCATATCGAAGTTTCCACGCTACTAAAACTACGTACCAAACCAAACCTGAAAGCAAAGTCTGCTCATTAATTTCATAACATTACAAATCACAAGATCACTAACCTTCATTAGGTACACTACAAACTATCTTCTATTGGTTTGACAACTTTTTAATTAACTTCAAATTTACTTTCTCGGAATAAATTAGTCATTGCTAACGTGTGCTAAAAAACCGCCGCTTGTTTTAAACATGGTAAAAGGCTGCAAAGCAAGAAGCTAATTAAAGGGATATAGTGGTTTTTTCAACAAGGAGCAGTGCAGGCAGTAAGTTTAAATTTGTGTGAAGGGTTTTGGTGCCCACGTTAATACATAAGACTCATAATATATAATGAATGCTTTAAATCCTTGTCTGATAATATATCATGCAGTAGTTGAAATGTTAGCATCACGTACGTTTCTCATATTTGTTGGAACTTAACTATTTAGAACACATTTAAATAAACCCGCCAGCTGCCAGAGATAAAACGCAACCGGGTACCATTTTTTTAATTATTTTTCCTTACCACATGTTAACANTGAAATGAAGAGATAGGTGTTTTGACAGTGACAGGTGTCTTTTGTTGACAGCACAAATGGGCTTGGAAAATTTAAAGCCCATTTTCATTAACTTGGCCCATCAAGGCCCACTGGGTCCATTTTAAGAACTTTCTAGCCCAATCCAATTCTCAGAATTTCTTCTGTACATATTGTTATTAAAATCTTTTGAATTACTTTTATTTTATTGTATTTTTCTATTACATTGAATATTTATTTATTCAATTTGTGTTAAAAGCAATACATTTTGTTATGAATGTCATTTTCCTTCTGTTATGCCTAAAAAGATAGGGCTGACGTGGAGTTTCATCAGTAAAGGATGGTCAAAGTTCAGAAGGGTTCTGCGCAGTCTAGATGCGGCCACGTCGCGCCTAGGGCAATTGGCATAACTCCTGTCAGTGTAGTTGGTGGGTGCCAAGCCAGCAAGCGACTAGAGATCGCCCACATGTCAAAGTCCTACTTTAATCGAGGAAATCTCTCGAGTAGGTGATCAATGGGACAAAAAGAAAGGATTTGCATGACACCTACCCACTTACAACTTTCATAATCATTACCTTGAGTTTTCCCACTATAAATAGAAGATTTTTCTCTCATTTGAGGGATTAGCTGAATTAGTTAATTTTACGCTGAAATAGCTCTCTCTCTAAACTGTAACTCAGCTCGCTGAACGCAACCTGATCACTCTTTTATTAATACAATAGCAGTGGACGTAGGATTCGCTCCAGAGCATCCGAACCACTTTAAACATTGCCTCTCACCCCTTATTTAACCTAATATTCTCATATCACGTGTGACTTCTGAGTCCACTTAGCATTTCACGCATGCGAGTTGTTGGTATCAAAATCAAGCATCAACACCTTCCAGAGGCAGAGGGAGGGGAAGTCCTTGACTTTTAAAAAATTTTGCTATGTTTTTACAAATTTACCCCTATATAAAATTAAAATACCAAAAAGCTGCATTTAGGGGTGTAAACGAGCCGAGCTGAGTCGAGCTTTTGGCTTATCGAGCTTGGCTCGTTTACAACAGTGTCGAGCTCGAGCGGCTCGCGAGCCTTATCGAGCTCTCGTTATCAAGCTCGAGCTCGATAAGGCTCGCGAGCCCTTATCGAGCTTGAGCTCAATGAGGCTCGATCAAACCACCATTTATCCAGGTTTGATCGAGCCAAGTTCCCCTTTTTTACAGCAATTTGCCTGCGTACAACATTTCATATTTACATCTAATGTTGAATTAACCATGACAGTTTCGAATATTACAAAATGTCTATTACCTTATAAAATCAAAAAACAGTTCTGAATATATACAAATAACATTCCTAGGAGTACATATACAGTCCACCAATCAAAACAAGAGGAAAGGCACGGATTTACGATCCATAACAACCACCTAACTAGCCTCAAAAAGATCTATACAAAAAGACCAGCAGCAAAAAAATGCAGGACTTCTGGAAAATAGATCAACTGCTCTAGTTGTACAAAAACAACAGCCACCAAAAATACCCAAAACATAATTCAAATGTTCTTTCTATCCA